AGTAACATCATTTTCTTCAAGAAGCTTTTTGATTTTCATTTCTTCAGTGACACATGAGTCATTCAGTAGCGTGCTATTTAACTTCATGGCATTTTAAATGTCTGCTTCTTGTTGATTTTGGTTTGTGGCTTTTCATTGAAGGAGATGTGCAGTAACTGTGTAATGAGGATTATCATACCCGATAGTGTGTTATTTAACTTCGTGATGTTATAAATTTTAATTTTTCTTCCTATTGTTGATTTTGTATTGTGGCTTTTCATTTAAGGGATGTATAGTAACTGTGCAGTGGAGACTGTCATATCCAGATGTGAGGATACAATGCAGTATGCATCTCTACTTCCAGATCAAAAATGAAACTGTTAACTATATTTTGACAATAGGATGCTGGGCTCTCTGCCATTGTTCATGCCAGCAATGATGGACATATGATTGTGTGTGAAAAACTGTACTATAGTAATAATATAGGGGAACTCAGTGTGGGGGTGAAGGGGACTTGAGGAGGGGGTAAAGGAAATCCCAGGGCCCATGGAACTGTATCATGAAATGATAATATTAATAGGGCCCAGTGCGGTGGCCTAGCAGCTAAAGTCCTACCATATGTTCGCCGGTTCTAATCCCAGCAGCCCTGCTTCCCATCCTGCTCCCTCCTTGTGGCTTGGCAAAGGAGTCAAGGACGGCCTAAAACCTTGGGACCCTGCACCTTTGTGGGAGACCTGGAAGAAGTTCCTGGCACCTGGGTTCAGATCTGCACAGCACTGGCCGTTGCGGCCACTTGGGGCGTGAACCATCAGACGGATGATCTTGCTCTCTGTCTCTCCTTCTCTCTATATAAGACTTTGCAATAAAAATAAATAAGTCTTTAAAAAATGATAACAATAATAAAAATAAAAAAAATACTAGCAGACATTGGTTGGAATACAGGTTCCTGTCCATGCAAGAAAGAACTGAGGCGTGAGACAGACAAGCAATGTAGCAAGGTCTGATGGGCCTTGTCGGAATGGACAGGCACCTCTCCAGATGGGCTGTGGCTCAGGGTAAGCAAGGCTGCAAGTTTTAATAAACAAAATGCACCGAATGGGCTGGGTGGGCACCTCGGCACAGAGCTGGGAGCTGAGCAAGCTGAGGGCAGCTCCCAGGGAGCAGGTGGCATCTCGGGCAAGGCTGAGAATACACTGTGCACTCAGACTTGGCCTTACAAGGGAGCGGGGTCCAGTCCTCCCCTACGTTCCTCCCTCCTTCTCCTGAACAAAGAATTTGTTGAATGTGAAATAAATAACATTTCTCCCTAAGTTTTATTGCCCAGTGTTATCAAACTAGGTAGCCCACTTGGCACTGGGTAGAGAGAATTCTCCTAGGATGAGGGAAGTGAGGGCTGGGACCACCTATAAAGTTACTGGGGTATAAGAAGAACCTTGCATGTAAAACACCCAGGTACGCTCAAGGTGCCTCCAGGACTACCCCCCTCACACACACACAGACACACACACACACAGGCTCATTTCTGGCTTGCTACCTAACACAAGTATTTCTATTCCAGGACATGATAAGAATAAAATCCTCTGGGAGATTGCAGAAGCCTTGCAACTCAAAAGACTCAACCCATGGTGCATTTAGGATGTGAAGCCCAACATGCAGAGAGGTCAGGTGCAATGAGCGCCTGTGTCAGGAACAGGCTTCCCAGAGGCTCACACAGCAAATCCAATACAGGTGTACTGCTGGGCTGCAAAGCCTCAAGGGCCTGGAAGCTGTAGCTGAGAAGGCAGTCCCCAGGGACTGGAGACTGGCCCAGCAGCCCTTCCCAGACTAGGACCTCCATCTGTGCAGGGGAGAGGGAAGCTGGCTTCAGGCCTTCCTTTTCTGAGGCCAGCTCGCTTGGATCCTAAGCAACCATCTCACCTTTCTTAACCTCAAGGGTCCTGTCCTCGACGTTCATGCCTGTGACAACAGCTTCCTGGCAAACGACAGGGTTTGACTCAGGGTTCCTTTGCCTTCTGAAATCGGAGGTTACTTGCTGCACCTCCCCAAGACAACTCTATGAAAGCAACCTTGGTGAAGAACTGCTAGTCCTGGAGGAGATTCGGGCAGAAACAGGCATCGACTTGATGGCCTTGTTTGTCATGTGACAACAGCCAGGCTCTGAGGACTCCAGGAATGAGGATGAGGGCAAGAGGAAAGTGGGGAGGGCACTCCTACAATCTGTAGCCCAAGGGAGGGAAGCCTGGCCTCACTGACCTCAACTTCCTGTGCTCTCTGGCCAGCAGCTGAGAGCGAGGCACCAGAGTGCCCCTTCCTGGGCTCACTGTCTGGGGGGGTCACTTCCTGTTTCCTATGCGGATTCAAATTGCACCTCTGGCTGTGACATCATCTTTCATTCTACCCAGTAACGATTCCTGTGGAGTGATGGTTCTACAAAGAATCAACCCATTTGGATGCACACTGCTATACATATGAGTGGACCACAGGTCATGCTCCCACTTGACTAACATGCCTGCCCCTGCTCACCTGTCTGGGTGGAATTCCTGGACTGCTAACCTACTAGCTCTGTGATCCGGGCAAGGAACAATATCTTTTTTGTGCTTTAATTGTCCCCTCTATGGAATGGGGTTAAGAATAGTATTTGTTTCACTGGGCTCCCATTGGCCTCAGTGGATTAAATTAGTAGATGAAAAGTATGCCTGGAATATAGTTAGTTCTCAGTAAATTGTAATATTGGTTATATCAGGGAACTTAAAAATGTTTATGGAGAATGCATACCATCTTCCAATTCCATTTTCATAACCAATCTGAAGCACCTTTTATTTTACTAGTGACAGAATTCAGAGAATTTGAAAAAGTTATTATTTTTTAAAAGAAATCTTCCATCACTCCCAAGATGGCTGTACTGACCAGAGCTGGGCCAGGTCGAAGCCAGGAGCCAGGAACTCCATCTAGGTCTCCGGTCACCTTCTGCTGCTTTCCCAGGTAGCAGAGAGCTGGACAGGACGCAGAGCAGCTGGGACTTGAATCAGCGCTCTCATGTGGGATGCTGGCCTGGCCAGAAGTGGCTTCGCCTGCTGCTCCACAATGCTGGGCTCCTTAAATTTATTTTCATTTATTTGAAAGGTAGAGGTCTTCCATTTGCTGGTCCCCTCCCCAAATGTCCACAACAGGAGAGGCTGGGCCGGGTCCAAGCCAGGAGGCCACAAGTATCCAGGTCTTGTTCATGTACTTGAGCTGTCACCTACTGCCTCCCAGGGTGTGCATTCGCAGGAAACTGGGATTTGAGTCAGGACCGGGATTTGACTTCTGGCCCTGGAAAAGGGGGTGTGTGTGTCCTAAGGGACCTGTTACCTGCTGTGCCCGATGTCTGTCCAAAAAGGTTACTTTTCTTTCCTCTGGAATCAGTCCACTATCTGGAACAAGTTGTCTGTACAGACTCTAGATTGTGACTGTTTTGGCTTCTTTGTGGCCAAGTACAGGCTGATATGTGTAGCACCTGCTCCATCTTGGGACCCACAGCTCTGTATGGGACAGAAAGGCACACACACACGTGTGTGTGTGTGTGTGTGTGTGTGTGTGTGTGTGTGTGTGATTGTTCCCGAACTCCCCTGCTTTTCCATCCTGCTGGAAGACTTCAGTGAGATGTTCTGGGCGGGGGTGGGGGGGTGGGGGGTGAGGAGCGGTCAGAGAAGCCTGGAGGATTCAGCTGTGGGGGCTGTGTTCACTCCTGGTCCTGGGACAGTGTCTGCAAGCAAAGAAGCAGGTGACTGCTGGGCAGTGGCAGCAGGCTCAGCTCCCTGACAGAGGCTGTGGCCTCGGGGCAGCTGCAGGAGCAGTGGTCCTGGCTAGTCCCCGCATCCTTGACCACCCCAGGAAGGAAGCCAGCCAAGACCCTCCTTGGTGCCTGGGGGAAAGCTTTGCTCCCCCAGCTGGCCGGCATCTTAGCAGCAACCAGAGAGCCGGGTGCCCAGGCGTGCTTTGCTTTGGACCAACATAAACCCATTCTTCCCTAAGTACCGTCATCATGCCTTTCTTCTGCCTTTTGCTCATAGGTAGATGACCTTGTCCTTGTCTTGTGGTTGGTGACAACGACCTTGACCCAAGGAGGCACCTTCCTCCTTTCCTGTGCTTGGAGACCTTGTGTGTGTGTGGGGGGGCAGTGTATGTGTGTGTGTGTGCGCACATGTGGGTATATATGTATGTATGTATACATGTGTGTGCACACTCGTGCATAGCTCATGGATCAACATAAGCCATTCTTCCCTATGTCCCATCATCATGCCTCAGCAGTGGTCACTCCCAGGGTCAGCTCTCAGTGGTGCTTGTGGTCAGCATGAATGGCCGTGACCCTGAGCCCCACCACAGGCTCCAATTGTGAGTATCAGCACTTTAGCAGAAGGTTCCAGAAACTGAAACTAATTTTGCTTTTCCAACAGAACCAGTCTTGTATCCCAAACAAAACCCCTGAGTCAGACTCCCAGTTTTTATTGCGCTGTTATGTAAACCACCCACATAAATACATTGAATAAATACAAAACCAGAAGGGAAGATTTATGGAAATCTTTGGTCTGCGGAGTCCTCTCCTCCCCTTCCTTGTGTCCCAGCACACTGCCTCCTGGCACACACCACTTCTTCGCATTCAGAAGCAGCTGTGCTGAGGCCACTCACCCATCAGGGGCTTTGCAGGTCAGCGGCCCTGGAGGAGAGTCGAGCGGGGAGACCCCCTCGAGGTGGTGCCACTTTCACCTGCTTGCATCGGCCGAGTGTCACTCCTGAGGGTGGCAGGCAGTGACCCTGACCCTGGGCCTGACAGGTTCTGATTGTGACGATCAGCACCTTGGTAGAACAGTCTGGAAACATAAACACTGTCCACTGCCCACACAGGCAGTCCTGCAGGCTTACTCTAGGCACCCCCCACCCCCAGCTCCTCGCTGGGAGACTAGCACAAGGTTATGCAGCCTGCACCTGCCTGGGGAACTCCCACGTGGTTGTGCAGCCTGCACCTGCTGGGCAAAGCCCCTGGACTCACACATAGTCGTTCAGTCTGTACCCGCTGTGCGTCGTTGAGGTCACCGAGGGGGCACGGTTGTCTTTGTAGGCAGCCGGAGGCCGGTAGGTGGGCGCAGACACCGTGGTGGGCCTGGGCTGAGCCTGGGAGGGCCGGTAGGGAGCCTCGTCCTGGCAGGAGAGGCAGAGCAGGGTGCCCCCGATGAGCGACAGGGACGACGAGATGAAACCCAGGTAGAGCGCCTGACCGAGCTCGAACTTCATGCCGCTAGGCAGCAGCGGGTTGTAGAAGTTCTGCACCACGTCGTTGGTGGTCCAGGACACGGCCACCATGCACAGCAAGCCGGAGAGCAGGAACAGGACGCCGCCCAGCACGGCCATGACGGCCTTTGCAGGCGTGCCCTTGGCGCAGCGCGTGCACTTCATGCCCACCACGGCGCAGGCGCACGCCATACCGGCCAGCAGGCAGGAGATGACCATGAGCGCGCGCGCCGCCTGCAGGTCACGCGGCAGCGCCAGCAGCGAGCGGTAGATCTGGCACTGGTAGATGCCGGTGCTGTGCCACACGCACTCCATCCACAGCCCCTTCAGGTAGGACACGGCCGTCAGGATGTTGGTGCCCACGTGCGCCGTGCGCCGCCAGTGCGGGAGGATGGTGGTGATGAGTGTGCCCAGCAGGCCCAGGAGGCTGAGCAGGAAGCCCAGGAGCTGCACAGCCGTGCTAGCCATGGCCGAGGCCGTGGCGCCCGCGGGGTCCCGCCGGCAAGCAGCCCAGGGACCCTCAGGTGGCGGCGGGCAGCTTCAGGAGCCGGTAGGAGCCCTAATGAAGTCAGGGAGGGAGGCGGGGAGAGAAAGGAGAGCAGTTAAAGATTACCTCGACGCATTTGCTTCCAAGGCAGCAGGTGTGACAATTAGCATTTTCTAGAAAATAGCTCCTGGGGGTTCGCAGGCTGCAAGCACAGGGCGGGATCCGGAAGGGAGGGGACCATGTCAGGAGCCCTTGCTGTGTGGAGGCTAAGGGGGCGGCTCTGTGGCTGCCTGCAGAGCTTGGAGCAGAGGTGAGGTGGTGGTGGCAAGGGGAACTTCACCCGGCACCCCTGTGCGTAGCTCCATGCCCAGATTACCCTAGAGCAGCGCCACCTGTGACCTCAGTGTTAGGCCTGACCTGGCTAGAGCTGTTTGTTCTAGGTTTTATTTCTCCTTTCATTGCTGTCTACTGGACCAGAGTTCGTGTGTGGATGTGTGTGTGTGTGTGTGTGTGTGTGTGTGTGTGTGTGTGTGTGTGAGAGAGAGAGAGAGAGAGAGAGAGAGAGAGAGAAAGAGAGATCATAAACAGATTTGGAGGACTCCAGGCACCTCCCCAGAGGTGTCCCCGAGCATCAGTTTGGATCCCCAAGGTGCCTAACCTTCCTGCTTGGCTGGACATCAGTGCCTGGGAGGGTGGTCTCGGGACAGTCCCTAGCGGCTCTGGACTACAGCTCCCTGACCTAAAGCTTCTGAGCTCAGTCCCACTGCCCAGTGCCTGTGGGCAGAGGGCTGCACAGGCTGTTCCTGGCCCTGACTGTTCTGTGCCTTCTCATAGCTCTTAGCTGGTCAAGGTCAACTATTGTTTGCTGATCCTGAAGAATGTGGTGGCAGAGTGGAGCTGGGCCTGCTGCACCCTGCAAGGCTGGGGCAAGTCGGCCACGAGCTCCTTGAAGTCTCAGTATTTATGGAGAGCACGGACGGCTGCTAACTTTAGAAACCATTAGGGTGCTATTTTTAAACCCGTGCCACAAGGATCTGCTCATTTATGAGGGCAGTGTTCATGTGCATGAGCCTATAGCTCCCGGACTCGACCCTCTCCACTGCTGCTCTTTCTGGTGATGCTGACTTCCCAGTAGGCGCCGGTTCACATTGCGGCCATTCCATAGACAAACAGCTCTAAGCGAAGCATGCCCCTGGAGATGCCATGACACCTCTCTGATGCTGTGGCAATGTGTGTCCTGCAGGCAGGAGCTGATCCATGCCCGGCCTTCTGCAGGGAGCAGCAAACACAGCACAGAGTACCTGTGTGACAGCCTTTGTCAAGTTCCAGACAGACCCTGGCAGGCTGGGCGGGCCTGGATCTAAGGAGATGATACATCCTGAAGTTGGTGCTGGGGCTCGCCTGTGGCCTGGTGCTATGTCAAGGCAGGGGTTCCGCAGAGAAGCCCCGTTGGCCACACTGCATTGCAAGCCATCCTGTGTTGGGACATGTGTGCATGGCAAGTGTGTTTGGGAAAAGCTGGTACCCATGTACTTCATTACATGTGCCGATTGTGGCACTCCCAGGAAAGGCGTCTTGGTGACATCTCCTAAAGTTGCTTGACCTGACCTCCCACCCCGTTTTCCAAAGAAGAACGTGAGGTTAAAAACCACTGTGGCCAAATCACTCAACTTGGAGTCCCTTTCAAGTTTAAAGGAAGCAATAATGAAGTGGGAAAAGAGAGCGTTGGCTGTTTAGGGGGTTGGGATCCTGCTGATGAGCACTGGTGCCAAGGAGCCAGGGTTCGCCTTGTTCTCCCATGAAGACTTCGACGTAGTTCTCTTCTTCTGGTGTCCGACAGCTACATGGTTTTGTTGGCCTTTTCAACATTTATTTATTTTTATTTGAAAGAGAGAGAAGAAAAGACAGACACAGAGAGAAAGAGAAGTCTTTTATCTGCTGGTTCACTCCCGAACAGCTGCAGCCACCAGAGCTGAGCTGATGCAAAGCCAGGAGCTTCTTTAGGGTCTCCCACATGGGTGCAGAGACCCAAGGCCTCGGGCCATCCTCTGCTGCTTTCCCAGAGAGCTGATTTGGAAGTGGAGCAGCTGGGACATGAACCAGTGACCATATGGGATGCTGGCCCTGCAGGCAGAGGATTAGGCTGACACACCACTGTGCTAAGAACCCCTCCCCCTTTTAAGGAAAGAATCAAGTCCCTATGGCACCCAGTGGGGTTCTCTCCTTTTTCTTACCTTCCAGACTGCCCGGACCCCATTGTGGTCAACTCTGAAGTTCACCACCCCAGGAAGCATCATTTCCACAGCAGTGGGCAGTGTGACAGCTCAGCCAGGACTGAGGGCAGATGCACCGTCAGATGATGTTCCTAATATTTGTAAAACTAATTTGTTTGAAAGGCAGAGAGAGATTTGCCATCCCACTGGTTCACTCCTCAAATGCTCACACAGCCAGGATGGGGCTAGACCAAAGCCAGGCAGTGAGACACTCGGGCCACACAGGGCTGCCGTGTGAGTGTCAGGGACCCAGCCGTTAAGCTGTCACCTGCTGTGTCTCCCAGGGAGCACAGCAGCAGGAGACTATGGTTAGAAGTAGAGCCAGGACTTGCACCCCGACACTCCTGTCTGTGCTGTGTGCAGGTGCCCTGTGCTGGGTCTTGTTGCTAGGACAATGGCAGGCATCGTATTATCTGAAAAGCGTACACTTCTACCAACATGGATATTTTTACAGCACAGTGTTTGATGCTTCTGGTAGAAAATATGCTGCCAGACTCAGATACCTTTAGTTACTCAGTGTGTGCTCGAGTAGACGAGGGTAAGCTGGAATTTTCACTATGGTATGAACGCTGATGTCACTGTGACTAGAGATACAGATGAGAGCGGTGAATTGATTCCATGTGCCATGTGGGGCTCCCAGTTATAACAGACATACCAACACTTTTCTTCTTTTTTTGATAGCTGGCACTGTAATTATTGGTGGAATTTTGGTTTTCTTTTTTTTTTTATAAAGATTTATTTTTTAAATTTTATTGCAAAATCAGATATACAGAGAGAAGGAGAGACAGGAAGATCTTCCATTCTGTCCTTTGATTCACTCCCTAGTTGGCTACAATGGCCGAAGCTAAGTCGATCCGAAGCCAGGAGCCTCTTCTGGGTCTGCCATGCTGGTGCAGGGTCCCAAGGCCTAGGGCTGTCCTTGACTACTTTCCCAAGCCACAAGCAGGGAGTTGAGTGGGAAGTGGGGCCACCGGGGTTAGAACTGGCACCCATATGGGATCCCGGAGCGTGTAAGGTGAGAACTTTAGCTTCTAGGCTATTGCGCTTAGCCTGGAATTTTGGTTTTCTTGTAAGACTCTGGTGAAATCTTGAAAGTGTACATGTGTACCTGTGTGCACTAGTTTTTAAAACCCTACGTGCAGATATAATGGGCCCAATCTTACGGTGTTAGACAGGAAGTGAATTTGGACCCTCCACAGCCTTCTTGTTTAGGATGAAGCCAAGGACTGCTTCTCTGGTCCCAAGAGATGCTCCCAATTTCCAACCTGAGTCACCGTAACTAAGATGAAATCCAACATCACAGCAGGAAGCGAAGAGATCTGAAAATAGGATCTCAAACTCCTCTTTGTTGTGGATAACAAAGGCTCTGGGTAAATACAAGCCACCCGTGGGGCTAGCACTAGGGCCTACTAGCCTAGGCTTCTGCCTGCTGTGCCAACATCTCATGTGGGCACCTGTTAGAGTCCTGGCTGCTCCACTTCCCATCCAGCTCCCTGCTATGGCTTACAATAACAGCAGAGATGGCTCGAATGTTTGGAGCCCTGTTACAGCCATTTGGGTGAGTGAACTAGCAGATAGAAGATCTTTCTGTCTCTCTTTCTCTCCAGTTCTACCTTTCAAGTAAAAATGAACTAAATCTTCTTTTAAAGAAGGCCACTCCTAATAGGTTGTGCTTCCTGCCATTAACAGCAAAGAGACAGCAAAAATAAAATCTATTTTAAATTCTCAAGCTTCATTTTTTTCTTCTTCTTTTGCCCTAAATTCAAAAAACTGAGTACACAAATGATATAAATTCTAATGCAAACACATTTTTTTTCTCTCCTATTGTCAAATGGAAACCTCATCTAAGAAGCGCAGGTTCACTGAGATGGTCAGTTGGATGTCGTGCCTGGCACCTGCTTCTGTGGACCTTCTTAGGAGCCCAGCTAATGAATGCTAACAATCGTATATATGATTAAAGCTAAAATTCACTCATCATTAGGAACTGGCCCGTGAAAAGCAGCTTAGATGTGGTTTATCCTGTTCGTGTTCTACAGAATTTCCATGTCACACATACATGTTACTGTGGGAACACAGGAGGTGAAGCGACAAGAGCTTTGCCCTGTGGCCTGAGACAGTCCAAGTGCCAGCTGCTTTGTACACATCTCGCACAGGCTCATGGGGTCAGTTCATTGCCAGGAGGCCAGCAGACTGTCAGGTTCTCTTCACTGTTCAGCTGCCTTTGCCAAAGTGTAGAAAAAAACCGGGAATCAACTCAGCAGTGAATGTCTGAAGCCCAACCCAGTCCAACTCCGATCAAGATCTTCTTGTCTGTTACCACGAACATCCCACTTGCTTCCATCTGTCTTAAGAAATTATTTGCAAAGTAAAGACATTTAATGACACCTTATTAATTTCCTCAAAAGCAGGAAAAATATGTATCATTCAGCATACAATAGCGTACAATTCCAAAGTTCCCATATAACTTAAAAAAAGATTTATTTATTTTGATTGGAAAGGCATATATACAGAGAGGAGGAGGAGAGAGAGAGAGAAAGATCTTTTGTCCAATGGTTCACTCCCCAAGTGGCTGCAACAGCTGGAGCTGAGCCTATCTGAAGCCAGGAGCCAGGAGCCTCTTCTAGGCCTTCCATGCAGGTACAGGGTCCCAAAGCTTTGGGCCGTCCTCAACTGCTTTTCCAGGTCACAGGCAGGGAGCTGGATGGGAAGT